TATATATATATATATATATATATATATATATATATATATATATATATATATATATATATATATATATGTATAGATTATAGATATCACGTAACTTTTTTTACTGTACTGTTCTATTTTTGAAATATATATATATATATATATATATATATATATATATATATATATATATATATATATATATATATATATATATATATATATATATATATATATATATATATATATATATATATATATATATATATATATAAATAAAATTATCTTAATTAAAAATAAAGAAAAAGCACAAGAATGTCCTAACTGCAGGACATGTTCATCCACTCAAGCGGCAAGCAGATGATGATTTATGTTGCATGAGGGAGCTCGTCCACTCAAGTGGTGAGCACATAGATTTTTTAATTTTTTAATTTTTTATATTTGTATAATGTTTAATTAATTAAAATAATGATTTTGAATATTCCAAACATGTAATTTAATAATTATATACTAATTAAAAATATTAAAAAAATTTATATATCATATTATTATAATGTTTAATTAATTAATAATAACTTTAATTAGAAAAAAATGAGTTATGAATTAAATAATATTTTAATTTTTTTACTTTCATGTTTTTAAAAAAATGATTGATGCTTGTCCAATGAGTTGTCGAGTTTTTACAGACTCTCGGCCAACGAATGACCGAATTCAAACGTAATATTTTTCTATAAATAGATTAATGCGCATCAACACAAATCATTCGTGCTCGGTGTTTCCATTTTCAAAAATATATGTCCGAGCTCTTGTTTCTATGGACAAGACAAAAAATCAGTGTTTACCTAGATCCGTAATGGAATTTCAGAACCGTGGTTGCAGCAATTAACACAAGTTTTCTACAGTTGAGTGGTCGTCGCATGTAGGTGAGAAAAATGGAATATTGTTGTCCGTATATAATGTTGACTGATGCAAGCCCGAAGGGTACACACATGTATTACTTGGGTCATATAGAAAATGATGAAGATGTCCAATGTATGTTTTCAGCACATAGTGACGAAGTTAACAAAGGAGTTGAAGATCCACTTGTGTTGGTTGCTGTTGTTGATTAGCTTGTATGTTAGCTTCTTGAGTTTTAATTTTATTTAGAAAACATAAATTATGGCATCATGATGCTCGACCATCCATTAGACGATTATGATTGTTGTAATCTAAAAGTTGTCTTGAATTACAAATAAATGTTGGATCACAGAGAAATCAAGTGCAATCTAAAACCTTTACTAACCGATTAACTTGAAAAATAAATAAAATTGTCTAGACGGTCGGTTTGACGGGCCGACAACATTTGGACAATTTCTACGCATATGGCCTATTTCTCTGCAAATCCCACACCTTCTCTTTTCCTTTTCAGCGTCGTCCATTTCAGTTCTAATCCTACTACTGGTTGGACGTACCTTCTTATTTTCTCTCATGGAATCGTCGTGGCAAAGAGTAAATCCTTCATATTTTGGCCAGTTCTCCTCGTGCGGTAGTCCTAGGAAGCTTTCCTTGTAGACTTTGAATACGTTAAGAACTGTGAAGACTTTTGGAATGTGAATGGAGTAGTCATGACGGTGGATAGAACATGTTACGATAACGTGGGAGCAAGTTAAGTGAAATGCCTGAAATTTCCCAGAGTCACACCAACGATTCCTCAGGTCAACGCTGAAAGTACCCGTCGAACGACCATCATTCTGATTAATTTTTTCCTACACCATGAAATAGAATCTTTCGCGATCAAATTACATGACATTATGTGTGTTAGCCTTGGTTACTTCATCAGTCATTCCCTTGTTGCAACCATCCGTGAAAACTTTGCCAGTAACTAGCATTTTGGTCCATTTGTGGCCTTGTTTACCAAAGAGGGAACCCATGCGATAATATGTAGACTGGACCAATACAGTGATTGGAAGGTTTCAGATTGCCTTTAGTACAAAGTTCATGGCCTCTGCCAAGTTAGATGTCATATGTCCGCAACGTTGGCCTCTGTCATATGCTCTAGCCCATTTCTCCCTAAGTATGTTGTCTATCTACATGAGGCCTCAACGTCTGTTCTTCGAATTTCTCTATGATAATAGTTAAATGTAGCCTCCATCAATGCGTGACCTATAATAGAAATGGTATAAAAAACATAGGAAAATTATGATAAAATAGTTCAGATAAACGAAATGTATTTTGTTACCCATGTTAATAAGTTTTTTTGCATAGTTCCTTGTCCTTAATCTCACGCATGAAGTTCTGCGTAATGTGTATAATACAGTAGACATGTGAAGATGGTGGATGTTGCCATCCATTTTTGGGATTTTTATACGCACTATTTGTCGATTCATGTCTATTCGAGATTAGGCACAAATTAGGTTGTGGTGTCACTGTAACCTCAGGTTCCTTAGGAAAAAGCTCCAGGCTCTTATCCTGTGCCACTGCCATCAATAGAGTTCCTCTGTACTTTCCATACAACCACATTCCATCTACTTGCACAATGGACTTGCAGTAGGTGAAGCCACGTATACACGACCGAAATGCCCAAAACAAACGATGGAAGATTTGTTTTCCAGAGATTTGGGAACCATCATTTAAAATTTCAGGTAGGGTTTGCAAATCATTAATGGTTCCAGGAAGATAGGTTTTCATTACCAATATCCACTGTGGCAGGTCGTTGTAAGATGTTTCCCAATTTCTGCAGAGTAACTCTATGACCTTACACTTAGCGATCCATGCTTTCCTGTAAGATATTATGTACCTGTATTTTTCAAGAATATGGGCAATGATCACCTTCACCTTAAGTGAAGCGTCTTGGTTGACAAACTCTCTAATGTTGTGGCTAATCATTTCTGAACTGAGCTTCCTATGGTCTTGTGCCATAGACATGGTAGTGCATGTGTGAGGCCCAAACAACTTACCAATTATCCATTTTGAGTTCTTTTTTCTCAAGTAAGCCCTGCATTTGAAATTGCAGTCTTGTTTCTTACATTTAATTACGTATCGTTCATTGTCAGATTGGTAAACTCAATAGTCAATAGTGTGTGTTATATGGCAATGTTGCAGAGCGAAAATGCAAGCTTCCTTGTTTTCAAACTCCATCCCAATCTCTATTTCATCACATATATGGTTTGGTATGACACTTTCAAACACAGAGATTGGCTCATCATCTTCCATACATATATTCTGCATATGTGCAGGTGGGTTGTACAAGCTTATTGGTTCGGCGTGAATTGCTTGCGTAGATGCGACTATTATATCTTCATCGTCCTAGTCATCGCTGTTACCAAAAATATCTTGCATCTTGACCTCTTGAAGATCATCGTCGCTTTCTTCTCCAACCTCTTCATTTGGTATGAAAGGTTCGTTGTTTTGTGTTGGTTCATCGTCAGATGTTTGCCTCATTCCATATTGGTGTGATTGTGTCTCCTGCGTTAGAAATGTTTCGGCATTGTCCAGTAGACGAACATACAACTCAATTGTGGATAATTGACCAAACATCATATGACACTGAAACATTGCTTCCACGTCTTCGTCGTTCCTGATCGGCGTCATTACGTAAAAAATTGTAGCGTCCTTTCCATTAAGTAATGGATGACGATAAATAATCTCCTCAACAAATCATTCTAATTTTTTTTCTTCCATTCTATCTTTGAAATGAAGAAAATCAGAATTGACATGAATTTTGAATGTGTAAGTATCTATGTTGCCGAAGGAGAATCCATCAGTACTATCTGTCGAAACAGTACCATTAAAGTGGCAGGTAACTATTATATTTCTTTGAGCCATATTTGATGTGAAAACTTTATGATTTTGTTACTGGAATATGGAGTGATGATACAAATGTGAGAAACAAACATTATATAATACAAATGTGGAGTGATTATACAAATGTGAGGAAAAACAACACGTGTGTGCTCGTCCACTCAAAGGACAAGCATGCTCTTCCCTAGTGTCTGCTCGTCCAACCAGATGGAGAGCATGGTCTTCTCACGCAGCAACTCGTCCACTCAAGTGGCGAGCACATGAGGGTTGCAGAGTTGGTCTTCATGCAAGGTACAACGTGTAAGTTCTAAGTAGTAGCCTTGCATGCATTCCATACAATTAACCAATGCCATGCAGTATGCAGTGTAATGTCACTTCTACTTGTCACATTTATACTTCAAACATTTTTACTTCATCTATAAAATCATTTTTACTTCAAACATTTTTCTACAAACATTTTTACTTCTATCATAAAACACTCTTGCAACAACAAACATTCAAGCATTTCTCCAAACATTTTTACACTGTATCAAAATGTCTTTGTTGTGGATGGGTGATGAACACCGAGGAACACAATCAAACATTCAAGCTAGTGTAAGGTTTCCTCTACTATTCTATATAATAATGTTTATAATTTTTGTGTTCACTATTATTTTATTTATTTTCAGACTAATGCAAGGTTTCGAGTGCATTCTCATGCTTCCATTCAAGCAAGTGAGGGAATAATTTCGTATTTAGAAATAGCAAGTTTTGCTAATATCACAAAAATAAATAGTCTCAAAATTGAATCTAGCCAAGTTGTAGCTTTGTTAGAGAAATGGAGACCAGAAACACACACGTTTCATTTCCCAACACGTGAATGCATTATAACGTTAGAAGATGTGAATATGTTACTTGGTCTCCGAGTTGATGGAAAAGCTACCAACGGTCCTACCGAAGTAACAAATGATGTTTATATGGAGAACTTATGGGTGGAACCTACAAAAGCTGATAAAAACAGAGATTCTATTAGGATTACTTGGCTAGAGAATTTATACGAAGTTTTAAAAAATAACTCTGCCCCAACCCAAGAACATACTATTTTACAAGCTAGAGTTTATATTTTACTTGTAATTGCTACTATTTTGTTTCCCGACAAGAGTCAAAATATTTTGCGTTCTTCTTGTATTCCTTTCGTAGAGGATCTAGAAAAATACAACACCTTTAGTTGAGATTTTGCTTGTCTTGCAAAATTGTACAGAGAAATGTGCAAGGCCGCGGTCAAAGATGTCAGAAGCATGAGTGGTTGTGTTCTTCTACTCACTACTTGGGCATTCACGCGTATATCCTTGTTTGCTCCTATTAGTACATTGCAGGCATCATTTCCATACACTCAAAGGTATTACTAGATTAAAAAAAAACTTTATAAAATGTGTTAATCAACTATGCCTAACACACACACACACACACACACACACACACACACACACACACACACACACACACACACACACACACACACACACACACACACACACACACACTCACACACACACGCACACACACACACACACACACACACACACACACACACACACACACACACACACACACACACACACACATATATATATATATATATATATATATATATATATATATATATATATATATATATATATATATATATATATATATATATATATATATATATATATATATATATATATATTTGTTTCTGCAAGATGGACCCAAAGACGCATGAATTACGACGCTAATCCTCGTTTCCATCTACAAGGGTATCGAAACGCATTGGACCACATGCAAGAAAAAGACGTGAGTTTGAAACCATAGAACCTAGTTGTTGCATATACTTCTTAATTGTATTATAATTTTTTTTAATATGTGGCAGTTTATATGGAGGCCGTACATTTAGTTCTCGGTGCCCAATTTTAGAGATATCCAGAACTGGAGTACTACGACTTCTCTTATCTGTTTCTATACTATTGAAATGCATCAAACAGATAGAGTAAAAATTCAGTTCGGGTTTGAACAACAAACCCCTTCCCCGCCAAGATGTCTAACGGAACACCACACAATGACGATGAGAAAAGCCCAAAAAATTCATTGGCGAGAATTAAACAAAGAGGAGGTGAAAGAATGAAAACATAAAATACATTTGATTTTGCAGGAGGACGCGGTGGTTGGTGAATGCAAGTCAAGCCAAGATTATTTAAATTGGTTTCGTGCAATTATGTATGTGCATATTGCTCCAGACCAATTTTTTTTATCGACCCCCGCATGCAAGGCTCATCATTAACATAACCAACTGCCGCACGAATGCATCAGGATGTGCCACCAACGTACATATCTCAATTTGGGGGGCACGCATCTTCATCTACTCAGCATACATACCAATGCACACATACCACCGAACAACACATATACTATGCATCCTCATCCCAACACCAAACTCCCTACACCCCACTCCCTCAACAAAACTACCACTACAACTACAACCAACAATATCAACCCCAATCCAACCTTCGATCATCCTTACAGTTCACTCCAATTCCTCCGCCAAACTTTGATCAATCAAACCCCCAATTCCAACATCAAACATTCAACACTTCATTTTCTGAACCCACCTCCACCTTCACGCCTGATGATGTCTACTACCCAACCATCCAACAAACCCAACCGAAACCTACACCCAACCGCCACAACCATCGTATTCATTCCAATATTTTTTTGCTGACGGAGGATCAACTGATGCAAGTTCCAGATTTTAACATTGATGACCATCTTACGGAGCAACCTACGATATAAGCGGACCCCCTTCAAGGCAGACGAACCCCCTACAACACATCACAATCAAGATATGTCTTCCGATTTATCTCAATCACCTACAAGGAATGTAAGTGATCGTGTGGACGAGGAACATCGACATAAAAGGGCCACTAGGTGTGAAACTGATGGCCATTTTTAAGAAAATCTATATGTAATATGTATTTTTGTTTGAATAAATTTCTTTATATATTTTATTATTATATTTAATTAATATAATATATTTTTAATTAGTATCTAATTATTAAATTAATATAATTGTTTGAATATATTATTTTTAATTAGTAGATACGTATTAAGTTATTATAATATATTTTTAATATTTAAAATTATTAAATAAAACATTTATATAAAATGAAAACATAAAGAAAAAAAATCCACGTGCTCGTCACTTGACTGGACGAACACCCTCATGCTAAAGAAATATTTCACCTGCTCGTCGTTTGAGTGGACGAACATGTACCGCAATTAGAACAACTTAGAATTTTTTATTTAAAATTAGGATAGTATGGTATATAATTTTTCAAACTATGGCAGAACATTAAAATAGTCATATTATGTAAGTCATATATAAAGTAAGGTATAAATGGTAAAAATAAATAGATTTATGGAAAAGAAAATTGGTTATGATTTGGATCTATTTATAAATTAACAAACCCTATATAAGAGATATGAATCACGATTCTGAGCAATTTCAGTCTACCTACAAAGTAATGTTAATGTTGCATCATAAAGTTAAGATATTAGCAGTTGAGAGAATTGAATAATAGTATTAAGGAGTTGGTGAGAGATTATTGTTGTGATGCAGAAGCAAAGCAGGTTGCAGTGTTGCTCTGAAATGCAGATTTGTGATGTAATGATGCAGCTTGAAACACACAAATGGAAATGAGGAAAAGTGAAGTAGAAAGAGGAAAATATATTGATATACTAAATAGGAAGATTCTCTACTTCTCCACTGTAAATACCATTGTTTCTTGTTTGCTTTATGAAACTCGTAAAATCACCAAACCATATAATCAGAATATTCTTTTTATATTCCCTCCCATAAATATATATAATAATGTTTTCTTAGTTTATATTTGTTTATTTGCAACATTGTATCCGTTTTATATTCCTTCTTCATCTTCCCTAAAACACTATTTTGGTTTTTTGAAAAAGTTATAACTATGTCTTCTCAAAAGCTTGATCATTGGAGTAATGGTGTCCACTTTTTCAAGGTTATTCGTGAAAGAACCCTCCAAGAAAAAAAACTCGTAACAATCTTTGTTTCTTTTTTCTCTTGAAATTTTTCAAGAGTTATTTTTTTCATTTAAATGTTACTTGGGAAAATTCACTTCAAATCATCAATATATACTAAGTGGATGGAGTAAGTTTCGTGCTCATAATAATGTGAAATTGGGGATGTTTGTGTTTTTATGTTTAACAAAAACAAAGGAAAAATTTCATTCAAAGTTACTATTTTCTCTCTAGAAAAGGACATATGAAGGTAATTTATTTACTTATGTTTTTTTCTAAACCTTCTTTTACTCTTCTTTTTTTTCATTTGATAATAACTTTAGAAATGTTTATATTGTATATTTTGATTTGTAAATATATTTAATAATTATTTATGTTGGTGCAGGAAATAGAAATAAAGTTTCAGTGCAAGATTGTTAGAGTTGAATTTGTGAAGGGTTGTGATTTGAATGTGTGTGATACTTGCCTATTGAAAGGAAGGTGCTATAAATGAGAGTTATGTATTGTTTAATGTTCTATTTCCCATTCTAAACTATATAGACTGAAATTGCTTTAGAGTTTTGATTATGTATACGTTGTTGATTTCTTTTGATTATGAATTAATTGGAAGATTTGCTTAATGACATAATCTATAGAACCGCTCATATTTAACAAAACCATTATTATTTGTGATTTTTATTAAAAAATATTTGTGATAATTAAATTAAGAGAGATTTATCATATTATTCAAAATAGAGTTTAATGAGCTTGTAAAATAATTTTATATTATCATAACATTTATATATCACATTATTAATTTAAAACTTTGACAGATTGTAATTAGTTACCGGTAGGGCTGGCAATGAACCAAACCAACTCGAAGATAGTTCGGAATTCGACTCGACAATTAAATCGTTGAACTAGGTTCATGAACCAAATGAGTTGAGTATGAGCGAAAAATTAAGTTCGTTAACTAAATGAGCTGAACTTGAACTATACATAGTTCGACTCGTTAGGTTCATGAGTCAACTCGATTACATATGAAAAGAATTATACTGTCTTTAAGATTAGGTTTAAATATTTACTTCAAATCTTAGACAAATTTAATCTTCAATTTATTAGTTTTTGAATTAGACTCTCAAATGTATCTCTTGAAAGTTGTGTAGGTTTTGAAGTAGTAGATTTCGAAGATAAAGTTAAATTTCAATATGATAACTTTTATTTTATTTTAATATTTTATTTTAAAAATATATATTTATTTAAAATGTCAAATATACTAAAAAATATATATATATTTAAAAAAATAGTTTTTAAGTTCGTGAACCATGTGAGCTGAACCTAATGAGATGAACCTAACGAGTCGAGCCGAACTGTTCGTGAACTTATAACGAGTCGAGTTTGAGCTTAAAAAAAAGTTCGTGTCGAACTCGAACTCGAACTCGAATTCAAACAATTCTTAACGAGTCGAGCCGAGCTGAGGTGAGTTCGACTCGACTCGACTCATTTCCAGCCCTAGTTACCGGTGCAAAATTAATTTGCAATATCCTTTCAAAATATATCTAATAACGTGCTCGATTGGGTCCGAAAGTTATGATAAGTAGGGGTGACAAAATAGGCCGTCCGTCCCGTTTAAACCCGTTCAAAAGCGGGGCGGAGGGGGCCAATTTAGGCGTTCAAGTTTAAAAGTCAAGTTCGTCCCGTTTACTAACGAGTTAACAGGATAGCGGGCCGGCTCACTAATTTTTTATTTTTTATTTAACAATTTGATTTACTAAATAATTTACAAAAAGTTTATTTATTGCCAAAGAGGTAAGCAAAATATTTTTTAAGAACGCATAATAGAACTTCGACATGTCTTAAATCCAAACAGTTCAACAAATAAAATAAATAAAGACCAATTACATAAAAAAACAAATAAACTCGAGCACAATAAAAAAAACGTATCAAATTAAATAAATAAATAAACAATACATATCATCCTAATCCTATTTAAAAAGTAACTACTAAAAGAACCCAATTAAGAATTTACAAAAGACAAACAATGATAACAATTACACTGCATAAAATGTCACAGTACATAAAATAGTGGTGCATAAAATATCACAGTACATAAAATAGTGGTGCATAAAATATCAACATCTGACTTTCTCACTGCTTACATCATATAGACTCTTATAGTGACGAATTCCTTAATAGTTAAATCCTAAATTTGTCACACGTATACACTAATCAAATTCTTCATTTTCTTAAAATCAACATCTATTTCTAAAGAAAACATGTGAGCTAATGTTTGACAATTTAATAATTCAGCATGACATACAATTGTTCTTTATTTTTAAATTTTTCAATTAACACATGTATTAGAAAGTTATAGAAAGAACGTTACAATTATAATTCAATTTGTTTGTATAATAATTTATAATACAATTCAATCAACAGTTAAATTTATTTTAATTCTAAGTAAAAAAAATTTAACAAAAAACTCGTGGGCATAAACCGTCCCACCCCGCCTCGGTCTGCTTTTTCAAGCGGGTTAGGTGGGGCGGGCCAACTTAATGTATCGAGCCAAAAACCTCAACTCAGCGCACAAAAAATGGCGAGTCAAATAGGCCGACCCGGCGGGCCCGACCCGTTTTGCCACCCTAATGATGAGTAATTTTTATTTATATATTTTTTTTGAAAATATAAAAATTAAGATTAAAAGAAAATTTATATAATAATTATAACTAATATGATTATATATGAGAGGTATTATATTGTCTTTAAGAGTATGTTTAAAGATTTACTCCAAATCTTATCCATGTATTTTCTTTTAATCTAACTGATCTTTTCAACTGATCAAAACCTGAAATGAGTCAGAGACTTCGTCTTCGA